TAGGCAGCAGGATACACAGACAATATACAGGCAGCATGATACACAGACAGCTGCAGTCTACAGGCAGCAAGATACACAAACATTCCACTGGTCGCTAGATACACAGACAGCCTACAGGTAGCAATATACACAGATAGTCTACAGGCAGCAAGACACACAGACAGTCTACAGGCAGCAAGATACACAGAGAGTCTACAGGCAGCAAGATACAAAGACATTCCATTGGTCGCTAGATACACAGAGAGTCTACAGGCAGCAAGATACAAAGACATTCCACTGGTCGCTAGATACATAGACAGTCTAAAGGCAGCAAGATACACAGACAGTCTACAGGCAGCAAGATACACAGACAGTCTACAGGCAGCTAGATTGGCAGCTACAGGCAGTATGTGGACAGTCTACGGACAGTCTAGCGGCGTCTACGGGCAGTCATCTAGCAGCAACCTGTGCGTAGTCTTTACAGAGTTGACAGACATTCTACAGGCCGTCTAAAGGAAGTCTTCAGACAGTCTACAAGCACTCTACGCGTAACCTACAGGCAGCACACAAACAATCTTAAGCCGGGATCACACCTGTCCGTTATGTCGTCTCCATGCCCGTATCAAAGACACGTATCCATACTTACGTTACCACTTATCCGTAGTTACTTCCGTGAATTGTTCTTGTCACCATCAGCTTGGTAAATATGTACATGTTTATGTTAATATTGAACAAAGTTCGTTGTTAGTGCTGGTGGTATATGTGTTATGCAAGTACCTGTCAATCTGATTTGCACATATAATTTCAATATATACTCAACAACAAAAGTTCCCGTGACACCAATATTTTAGTGTATTTTTCAAACAAGTAAAGTTTGGTTTTCAATGTTGTAGTACATGTATGGAATCAAGTCACAAAAACGCAACTGCTACAGAAAAGCACGCATTCCATGCAAAACTTGACTTTTATGCAAGCCCCATGCATTTCACTACCCAAGAATGGGTATAAAAACATGTGCGTTAACGGGATTCCATATGCATTGTTCAGCATCGTGCTGACAACAACCACTCAGAAAAACAACAAAATTACGCAATTATTCAACATTACGAAATGCCACACCTGTCCGGAAATGAGCGTGTGCGAGCCATTGGTATGCTTGAAGCAGGATCGAGTCAACGTGATGTTGCACGACAATTTAACGTCCACAGAAACACCATTTGGTGGTTATGGCAACGTTGGCAACAGACGAATGCAGTCAGAGACCATCCTCGGAGTGGCAGGCCACGCGTAACCATTAATCGACAAGACAACTGGATTCGAACAACACACCTACGAAATCGAGCCAGCAACAGTGACTGCAAGAAGCATCCCTGGCCTTCGACGAATATCTTCACAAACCGCCTCAGATGTGCTGGGATTGTCGCCAGAAGACCCGCCAGATGTCCCATTTTGACAGGAAACCACCGTCAAGCACGTCTACAGTGGTGCAGACAGCGTTTCGGCGATGCAGTGGGGACAAGTTCTATTCACTGACGAGTCTCGTTTTCACCTCAGCCACAGCGATGGACGGATTCGAGTGTACCGACGTCGAGGTGAACGCTACGTGAATCATTGTGCCATGGAAGAAGATCGGTTCGGTGGCGGCAGCGTTATGGTATGGGGTGGGATCACAGCAAGACAAAGGACCCGTTTGATAGTGGTAGAGGGAAATCTCAATGGACAGAGCTACCGCGACGAGATTATCGGCCCTGTTGTTCTACCGTTTTTGCGTCGTCATGGCCCAGGCATTACCTTTCAACATGGCAACGCCCGGCCTCATATTGCTCGACTTGTTCAGGATTCTCTTCAACAAAACAACGTGAATGTCATCCCCTGGCCGGCTCGCTTCCCTGATCTCTCACCAATCGAGCACATGTGGCATAAGATGGATCCGCGCCTTCAACCACGTGTTCCACAGACACTCCAGGAACTTCGAAACATGCTCCAGCAAATATGGACAGATATCCCACAGGACTTTGTGCGACGCCTGGTCCATTCCATGAGACGAAGATGTGTTGCTTGCATCGCAACCAGAGGAGGACACACACACTATTGATTTGCAAATTGACATTTTGGCATGTTCATGATTTTTATGAAATCACGCATTTTCGGAAGTCAGTATGGCAAATTAAACCATTTGAACACTTACATGAGTCTGTTCGAAACCGAAATTGTTTCAGATTTGGAAAAAACATAACTTTGCATTGAATCTTATTCAATGTCACAGGAACTTTTGTTTAGTATATGTCATACATCTCATCCAAATTCGGTTCATAGTCTGATGATATCTACTTTCTTAACATTAAATTTAATTTCAAAACATGGTTAAAGGTGTCTTATTCTAAACATGTTTGGATTGTGTTGTGTTTAGGTGGTGTTTAGGCTATGGGGCGATGTGTTTGGGCCCTAAACATGCTTAGAAAGAACACACCAAATGTGCATACCGTTCAGGATTGAAACAATTCCTAAACATGTCAAAAAATGACAATGAGAAAAATGGTTTTACAGAGGACAACCTCTAGATGTTGTTACTTTTTCTAAATAACCTAGCGTCTATTTTACTAACAGATTGTCGTGGACTTTGCATATTATTAAGGCTGCTTTAGATAATAAAACTTTTAATTGGCACTTTCCAGTACCTTAAGCGACTTGGATATGTAACCTATAGTACATGTTTCAACATTTATGGTGAATGTGGAAGATGTCCATTGTACATATAAAGGTTCTTAATTACTGGCTAAAATGACTACAAATGCCAAATTCAAGATTTCCAGATGTAATGTTACAATAAGACGTTACTCTATGATCGTCATGGTAAATCTTACTGGGTACCGTGTGTCAGCTAGGTAATTAATTCAACGAGTATGGTTTTGTGTGGTCAAAATGTAGATACTCCAGAGCGAATTATTATTGACTTCACACAGATTATAAAAGACATGTACTTCCCAAAGTGGTTATCTTCTCTACCTTTGTCCAATAAATTAAATCACTATTCGGATATCAAAAGAAACTTCAATAGAGAGCACTATTTGGTTGAAATAGATTTAAAGAAGTTCCGAGTGGCGTTAGCACGATTTAGATGCAGCTCTCATGGCCTCCTTAATGAATCAGGTAGACACTGCAGCATTCAAAGAGACGACAGAATATGTCAATTGTGTAGTTGTAATAATATAGAAGATAAGAATATCACTATTTACTTATTCATTTATGATCATTTTTTCAAGGATCCTCACAAATTTTACTTACAAATGCAGACAAAATATATCGCGAAGATATTTATATTAATGTTCATTTTCCATGCCTTGAATCTCAGAAAGCATGCACTTACTCCACGACTTGAGGCAATATAACAGTTATCATGGCATTTGATGTATATTCTATTGCATAAATGTACCCTCAACTTCTTTGTATACATGTACTATAGGCCTTTGGCCTTCTCATGACAGACTGACTGACCGATTGATTGCACATTTTTAGTTTTTCTCGAGTGATATCTACTCATCTTCAGCATCTTCGTGCAATCTATAGCTTTCAGGCAAAATATATGTTTTTCTTTTACGTTCATAATTTAAGGGAGGAACCCATTCATTGCGGGAATATGTAATTATGGTAATGTGCAAAAAGCATGATTGCGATACGACTGGCTGAATGTTTTTGAAGTGCATTATATCAGAAAACAACAATTCACACTATCTTGGACACAATGCTATAAATATAATCTGGAAATAAACAAATTCCTTTTGAAGCCTTTGAACTTTATTTTATTAACCGTGAAACAGTAAAATATGAAACAGCGAAAATAAACATGGAGTCACATGAATCCTATTAAGAACATATACGTTTAAACACATATCTACAACTCAGTGTGACGTCACAACAGTGGCTATTCCATCCGCAGGTCCATCAGTATCCGCAAAAACATGGGTCTAAAATAGAATAACACGCATGCGGGACACGTACCCCAAATGTACGTTTACTGATGGGTGTAGATGTCCCAGTGTGGTTTCTGCAAAAGTTATTTTTGCGGATACAGTGAGGTGGTGAGGTGAAATTTGATTTAACGTCGCGTCCAAGATTATTGCACTTAAATAGCGACGTGCATGCACACGTACGTGTGTGTGTGTGTGTGTGTGTGTGTGTGTGTTGTGTGTGTGTGTGTGTTGTGTTGTGTGTGTGTGTGTGTGTGTGTGTGTGTGTGTGTGTGTGTGTGTGTGTGTGTGTGTGTGTGTGTGTGTGTGTGTGTGTGTGTGTGTGTGTGTGTGTGTGTGTGTGTGTGTGTGTGTGTGTGTGTGTGTGTGTGTGTGTGTGTGTGTGTGTGTGCCATGCCGCAGTCTAACATGAATACCCGACTCAAACACAGTATACTGACTTCGAGCCGACCAGTCCTTGTTTTAGTCCCTTAATGCCGAGCGAAAGGCAGGTACGGGTAGGAAAATACGGATGGGTGCAAATGGCCAATTAGTCAGTCTACGTTGAGAATTTTTTTGGATTTTGTCGAGCAACGTTTAGAGTCAGTATTGCTGGAATATAATACACACAATTGCAGCTTCATCAACGCTGAAGCATCATCTAAATTGGTTGAGACAGTAAAATTAGACAAACAGAGACACGTGGAGGTCAAAGGCATAATATCTACGCTATAAAACAACAGTGGCAGTGGAATATCGAAAGATTTCAAGATATCATTGGTCAGTTCAGGTGCGCTTAAAGAGGCATAAACTTAATGTTCCTAAAGGCATATGAAGACACGCGACCTGGCTTTGATGACTAGATGTATATATCCAAGGTCATGTGCACGGCAATTCTGGAGTGTGATGCTTTTGTCAATCGACACGCGCAACAACTGTACCTCCATTACTTGGTGTCACAATATGCACGCCTTCAGGCTACAACAGAAATCATTTCCTTCCTTTCTATGTTAAAGTCAGGTAATTTGATCTACAGATAATATGGGTTGTGTATATTTAAACCATCAGTAGTCCGGTGTTGTCACTCTTCTCCCTCGCTGACAACAGAGACAAGGTAGGCTGTGTGAATGTCACTATTCCTGTGAGGTATTGCTTGTTAACATGACAGTTTAGTTTAGCCTTTGCATGTGTTTGTGACAGGTACCCCCGGTCGGGCACGATACGCTCATGTTTTCGTGAACACCTGGTATCATCACTATTTCATAGTGATGCGTAACCAAATGTCTATGATAGATTAATATAATTATTAAGGTCAGGTTAGGCTCATCATCAGCTCAGGGCCCTTGCCCCCTCTACACGCAGCCCAGACAGCGAATGGGACTTCTCCCAAAAAGCGCTGCCATGTCAAACCCACCCAGAACGTTTCGGAGAATATGAAGACTTCCCAACACTGCAGCCTTCTGCATTACCCAGATTGTCAGAAGCAAACCCGGGTACTCTCCCAATGTCAGTCAACAGATTGGGAGGTACCAAACCTAAGGCACCGAGAACAATGGGGAGTCGGACAACTTGGTACTTGGGATGCAAGCGTGACATTTCGAAAGCGAGGTCTGCATATTTGCCATGTTTTTCCTCAATCTTGTCAATCACATTGCTGTCAAAGGGGACAGAAAATTCAATGATATAAATTCTTTTATTGGATTTATCAAAAAGGACAAGATCAGGTTTGTTGGCCTGGCTACGTCTGAGGCTTAAATGGGCCTATTCCAAAGAATTTTGTATTTATCATTTTCCATGACGCCCTCTACATATACCGGGTCGTACCATGGGTGGACCTCTGTGTCAAAACCACAAGCATAGCAAAGACGGTAATAAAATGATCGAGCTTCACCATCATGTCGTTTTAGATACTGTCTTTGTGCCAAAGCTGGGCATCCATTGACAATGTGTTGGACAGTCTCATTGAATTCATTACATAATCTACATGTCATATTTACATTTTGATTCAAAATCACACATTGACGGTTTCGAGTGGGAAGTGACTGGTCCTGAGCAGCAAACGGAAAGCCTTCTGTTTCACTTTTCAGGCCAGACGACTTCATCCAAGCAAAGGACTCTGCAGGAATGTTGATCTTCGCAACACACTGCCCATAAACTCGATGCAGTGGTCGTTCAGATAGCCTCTCCTTTAAAAACTGAGTCTGGGCGACTTAATATGGCACTTCGCTTGTTTGACACTCATTCCTGTACCGTCCAGCAGTACAGAACCATCAACAAAATCAACACCGGCATTGAGATTATGTCCCACATCCTTGGCTCGTTTTAGAAAACTGTGGAATGCCTTGTTTTCATCATGACTCTTGACGTGCTTCACATGAGGATCATCAGACAAATAAATGTGTGCAAAGGTGCACAAAACAATTCTATCATGAAGAGCCCCAACGTTAATCAAACCACGTCCTCCCATAATGATTGGTAAATATATGCGATTGAGGGAAGAGGGAGGGTGGTGGGATCTATTGTCTGATATGATTCTCCTTGTGAAGGTGTCAATACCATGAATTTCTTATTTCGTCCAATCAACAATACCAAAAGAATATGAAAGGACGGGTACAGCATACGTATTACTTAATTTTACTTTATTTATAATTATTATTATTATTATTATTATTATTATTATTATTATTATTATTATATCCAGGTAGAAATAGAGACACTTTGCCCGATCGGAATCCGACTTTTATTGTTGTTATAGAAGTCACTATGGTTTATTCGAGAAGCACAGTTGCAAATGTCGTGCATTCAAAACGAAGGTCATTAGGTGTATAAATACGTTCATGACTGTGCTGCTCCCTGTAAACGATTTTAATATTAACGTGTCGCTAAATAGAGCTGCGTCCCATCGTGTCTTCCTAATAAATCAGCAAAGTGCATGCGTCGTAATCAAACGACAAATGAAACATGATTCACTTCCTGAGACATTTGCCTACAGATACGAGTATTTATATTTAGATCGTTAGATGAATAAAGTTGGTGGTATTGTCATTGGTGAGATCCTAGTTTCTATTTAAGCTGGCATATCGCGGTATAACCGAATCGTTGTTCAAAACGGCATGAGTGTTTGTTTGTTGTTTAACGCCGCACTCAGCAATATTCCATTATATGGCGGTGGTCAATAAATTATCTAGTGTGGACCAGGCAATCCAGTGACTGAGCATGGATCTATGCAACTGGGATTCGATGACATGCATCATCGAAGTTACCGAGCCTAACCACCCGATCCATTTAGTCGCCTATGATGACAAGGTTCCCAATGTATATACACTGAGTGTGCAACGTCCTATCGTTGTCTCTGTGTGTTGAATGCTGAACTCATGAATGAAAACCCCTTTTCTCTTGTCCAGATACCATGACGATGATGCTGACGCTGACGCTGCTGGGGTGCTGTATCTCAACCACAGGTCAGTGACCTCATCACGCATCACACGGGGGCGGTGCGGTGGCCTAGCGATGAAAGCGTTCGCTCGTCACACTGAAGGCTCGGGTTCTATTCCCCTCATGGGTACAATGTGTGAAGCCATTTTCTGGTGCCAACGACAATGATATTTCTGTAAAATTTCTAATAGGGGCAAAAAAATAAACTCACTCATTCAGTACAGAAAATACATAAATGAAATGCGGTCAGAACAGATTACAAGCCTCGTCAATACAGTCAATGTGTTCGATTCTACCTACTTCACTATACTTTTATTTGAGCCAGACAATTATTTTGATTTTTAGAATGATTTTGCTACAAAGTATTTTTTAAAGTGATGCGTTTTAAAAGTTTGATTTCAAGAGTTCGTTTGGATCAAAAACCTCAAATCATCCCTGACAACATCTGGTTTCTTGGCCAACTGCATCTTGAAATATTGACCAAAATAATTTAGCGTTGTCATGTTCTCAAACAACATTAATGGATTAATACATAAAACAAACAAAATTTTATACATCCCCAGCTGCAGTAAAGTTCTGGAGCTCAGGAAACCCACTGATTAACAACATGTGGCGAAACGGATGGAATATACACCAAGACACTTACATCGGGGGCGATTCAGTTTCCGTATCTCCCAACCCCGATGGTAAAAACAACAAAGTTTACGACATCTCCTTCTCCCAAGGTTCATACGCCATGACAGGTCCGAACAGCGGCCTACAGTTCTACGCCAGCCCAGTGGCACCCAGGGAATGCGTCACCCTCCAATACAAGGTCCTGTTTCCAACAGGGTTCGACTTCGCCTACGGTGGAAAGTTGCCGGGTCTGTACGGAGGTGGGGTCAACTGTACGGCTGGGGGTGACCCCGGCAAGGACTGCTTCACCTCCCGCCTCATCTGGAGAACAGCGGGCATGGGAGGGATCAGTCTCTTTGCCCCCGATGTCACCCAGCAGGAAGGATTCTGTAGCTCACCTGAAGTCGATTGTAATCAAGACTGGGGACACAAGACTGGGGGGAACAGCTTCTATTTCGACTACAATACGTGGTACACCTTGATGATGACCGTCCGACTGAACACCCCCGGGCAGGCTGACGGCTACATCAGGCTCTCGGCGAACGGCCTCGGTAAGCTGTTTGACGTCACTGGGGTCACTATGAGGAATGCTGCTGATGTTCAAATCGACGGCATCATATTTTCGTCTTTCTTCGGTGGCAATTCGGCATGTTCCGCCAGTCCTGTCGACCAGAATGCCTATGTCAGGCTGTTCCTCCTCAAAGATACCTACTGTTAGAATATAAATGAGAAATCAGACCGATTGATTTTTTTTTTTCATGTAAAATCTCAAATTATAGGGCTCTGTATTGAACTATCATGAAAATAAAGTAAACTTAAGCTCGATAGTGGTGATGAATGTTGTTATTTTGGTGAGTGAGACACACAATTATTATTACTGACTGACTCACTCACTCACTCACTCACCCACTCACTCACTCACTGACGCACGCACGTACTCACTCACAAATTAATGTCAATGTCAATAATTAGCTGCCAAATTCAATCCTTAAGATGTATAAACACATCTTTATGCAATTCGGAAAACGTTTATACCAAAACCCAGGACAGAAATAGAATGCTGAATCAAAACTTCAAGACATACTATATTTGAGAAAACAGTTTATAAATAAAGTATATTTGATACCAGGCAGCAGAAGGATGTGATGGTAATGGGACTATCTTCCCCACAGACATATTGTATTGTGTACTCCCCAGGAAGCTGAGAATGAAAATCGAGCGCACACTGATCCATCGCCCCGGGTAATAGTAATGAAGCACCATCCGTCATCAGCATTTATTTGAGTGGCATTTGACGCATTAGAAATGGAGACTTCTTCTTTTATTATTATTATTTACTGATTATAATTATTATTATTAATATTATTATCATCATCATCATCATCATCATCATCATCATCATTATTATTATTATTATTATTATTATTATTATTATTATTATTATCCATTGCTAAGGTAATCAATTACAATCACCAAACTCATTACCAAACAGGAGAAGCATCCTGTATGATTATACAATGGGGTATTAGGAGGCCCTAACTCCCATTCCACAAGCGCATAAGCTCAAGGTTGGAGTATATACCTTAACATACCCGCATTAGCTACCTGCCCCTGAGCGAACAAAATCTGCCTTGATCTAATGCGTATTACAATGAGCAGCATGGGGTGAAGCGTGGCGGCGTGATTAGGTTTTAGCAGGGAACTTTACACCCAGTTAAAGAATGCCAGTCTAGTGCATGTAAATCCCGTTTTCGTCACAAGCTGGTACAAATATCTCACTCGGTCTACCCATTGTTCACCGGTTCGATGTTAGTGCGATATTTCTGTTGACGGGACTAGTTCATTACTAGCCTAGTTTGTGGTTTATTTCTAACGTAATGTCTCCACAAGCGTGACTGGAATGAGTTTGTATAGAAACCGTTTTGTTCGTTTGTGAATTGATTTTCCCCCGCCCAGTGATCTTGGAGTTGATCAACTGATTGACAATGGATACGAGACTATTAGAGATCAACGGCCGTGGAATCAATATCCGGACGGGATCGATTACCCCCAGGAGGTTCATGGGAGTTGTGAGTCGAAGTGCACCTGTAAGTAGACAAACCTGACACGAGTCTTCAACCGATGTTATCATGGGTCTTCTCTGATACGAGAGGTAGATATATGTTCGGCGATGGTATCGTCACTTAGTCCTCTGTTATAACGTGTTTAGTTAATACACCTCGGTTTCCTAATGTTGTGTTGATCTAATACACCCGGGAGTTACAATGTTGTGTTCAGGTAGTATACAGGTGCGTGAGAGGGTCTGATCAGGATAGAATGCTGATGTTAAGACTCAGGATGTCATGTCCATCATGCTGTAAGTATAACTCTTCATCCTATATTTTCGTATAACGCTCTATGTTTCTTTTATAGACTTAAGTGTGTAAAAGTCAACAATATTAATAATGTGAAGAATTATGTGTGTTAACCAAATATAAGATTTTCAAAAACATTGCACACAAGGAAAGGACAAATGTCATGATAATGTCATGATAATGTCATGATAATTTAGGTGGATTTTAAATCGGAAACTAGTGGTATCGGTATTTTGAATGCAAAAACTTTCCAACGCCCAGCTTGGATTGTATACTCCCCGTGGAGCTGAGAATGCAATCGGAATGCGTACTGATCCGTTATCTGGGGTAGTAAAGCCTGGTGCTCTAAGTCTAGCGCCATGAGCAATCACTTGGCGATTGAGTATTAGGCTCAGCATTACGTTTTATATGTATGACCTAATCAGTTAATTACATATTTAGCATTAATGATCACATTCTTCACACAGATGTATATACGACCAAACACAGTGTGTCACGTTTTATGATAATACGCACATCGCTGCAAGCGGTTGAGATTTTAAAAATACATTACATATGTCAGGGGTATGGGGTTTCGTTGTGTATAAAACATGGCATAACTATAAATACCTATATAATCCTAACTATGAGCGGGTAACGTGTCAAATGAACCATGTACCTTATCCCGACCTCTATCAACGCCAAAGACACATGTCTCTGCATAATGATAGCGTTCTAGACAGGTCGCTGTGAATAACGCACGGGGCAGCTAAAGTTATGTATCCCGTTGATATCATAGCACTATCAGGCCATAACATAGTTATTGCTTTTTGGTTGAGAAGAATAATCGAATTAAAACACAACGTAAATCATTACAAAAAATTCTCTGGTTTCCATTAAGGACGTGTATGAAACGAAGGACATCTATGATGTCGAAGTCCACCTACATTGACATTATCTGGGAAAAAAGAGAGATCTGTTTATTCGGAGTTCACCCACCTTAAGGTCATATAACATATAAGAAACGAGGGAGATCTGTTGTTTCGGAGTCCAACCACATTAAGGTTATATATGAAACGAGGGAGATCTGGTATTTCGGAGTACAACCACATTATTGTCATATATGAAACGAACGAGGGAGATCTGGTATTTCGGAGTCCAACCACATTAACGTTATATATGAAACGAGGGAGATTTGCTATTTCGGAGTCCAACCACACTAATGTTATATATGAAATTAGGGAAATCTGCTATTTCGGAGTCCATCCACACTAATGTTGAAACGAGGGTGACTAATATCGGAGTCCATCCACATTAATTAAACGAGTCATAGGAGAACTATTCGAAGTCCACCGGTATGAACTGAAATGATATCTGGAATTTCACCTGCATGTACATGTACGTTAAGATTATGCGTACAACGAATCACATTCTTCATTTTAAAGTTCGCGTACATAAAATTAATCATGTATGAAGCGAATAACATTCGTCATCTCCAAGTCTACCGTCATAAGGGTCATGCTTGCAAGAAAGTATACAACATTTCAGATACAAGAACTGGATTTATATGTTTTGTACAATAAGACATTATGGTTATATAGTGGAGGGTTAGATATATTAAAATGAATATTTATTCCTATATCATCAATATGCTTTCTATTTTTTTTCACGTCCATTCCTTCTACATTTGGAATTCGAAAATGTAGAAATGTATTTTTAATTGCGTTTTCTCGATCTTATGTTCTGGACATATATACACACAGTATTTAGAAGGCGGGTTTAGGAGGACTTCGTTATTGTCCCTAACTTAATAATGTATCAGTTACATACCGATGTCTCGAATTCGGGTTTCTCGACAGATGCTCGACTATCTGAAACTTCTAGTGTCTACAATACGAATTTCGGAACCTGTAAATAATAATGTGCACAAGTGGAATATTCAGACACAAATCATTTAGAAAAAACACTTTGATTCGATACCATATATCAGTTGACAAAGTACTATTTAATGTCCAAGTACACGGCAAATATGTGTAGGATATTAGAATCACTTCCCCAAGTTTTAGTCAAGTCGTCATCATCTCTTTGTTAATGGTGAACTGTGCAAACCGTCTAAAATACCAAAGAAATTATATACATTACAAACATTAAGTGAATAACCCTTTTTGAAAAAGGCCCCAACGGATTTTGAAGCCTTAAAGGAAATATTTTTAAACGGATAATTTTAAGACATAGCATTTGTCGTGGTTCTATTCTGGTACATGGTAACGCTAGGGCAGCCATGTTTTGCTACAGAAATATATTCATAATCCAACAGGCGTTTACAATGGTTCACTTTCTCGGTGTGTAATCGACGGTTCCTACAAGCAACGTTACGTTACAGCTGATATGTTTGTGTATGAAATCAATATTTGCTGATTTACCGATTATTGATCACCCCATATCCAGGTAACTAACCCTTCTCTGTATTCATAACGTGGGGTGGCGGACGCGGACGACAAACCTCCGGATATTAATCCCATACAGCGTCATAGAGAACATCACAGCGGTCGTACAGCTGATTTACTGCCGCATTAAGATCAGAGAACGATAAACGTTGATCTGAAGCTTAAAAGGATATTACGTGAAATAGAGCTACGGCCACAACATTTGATGCAAAACGGTGTGGTTGTGACGGGATAATGTGACTGCGAGTACATAATCAACAGCTAGTGGGGGCCTTTGGTTCAGTCGTCTTAGGCGACACAAATCGCTCTGCAGAGTTGCGTCCCTTGGGCACGCCAGTAACCTATGCTTGTGGCTTCGAATCCCTGATCGCCCCGATAAAGTTTCTGGGTTGTCTGCGCCATGCACGTGTCCGTGGGTTTCACCAAAGTGGTATCTAGGGCTATTCCAGTATTTCTTTGTAATAACTGATACATTAATACTTATGGGGTATTATATCTACATGTAATTGTGTTTAAGATTATACTTATTGACACATTAATGAAATCAACATTATTCAAATTTACATGATGGTACATTAATTATTAATTTACCTGTTTTGTCTACTATGGACTTGAATTTGTGGAATTTAAACATGATGATGGAAATAGAAGACATGACTAGCTCCATATAAGATCCTTTCCTAATTGGTGGGTGTTGAGTCTCTCTCTCTATCTCTCTCTCTCTCTCTCTCTTTATGATTATGCTTATCGTAAAAGACGACTAACGGGTTAGGATGTTCAGGCTCGCTGACTTGGTTGATGCATGTCATCGATCCCAATTGCGTGGATCGATGCTCATGGCATCAACAGCCAGACACGATCATAAACATACCACCGTCATATAGCTGGATTATTGTTGAGTGTGTCTTTAAACAATAAACAAACAAACACTCTTCTTTCTTGCTCTCTCTCGTCATAAAATTCATGCAACGAAAGTATCGATGACTATCACAAACGGACAGGTATATGCAGCGAATAGAACATGTCCGAGCTTCAAATTCAAATTTACAAAGATTCCCAAACAAATTTAATTGACAAACACTCTAGTTACCCAGAACCTCTGTTTGTGGTAAGAACTGACTGAAATGAGGATCGAGTTGTCACATTGTAACACCTGACTGTTTCTTTGTCATCGTGTCCAACGGTATAGACGTGTCGGGGAAGGGCCGGCTGGTTTGTTAGGACTTGTCAAGGGCATATAAAGTGACTTCACATTGTCTACACACTGAAGTGGAAATTCAAGATATTTATGGACCGGACAGAGCATAAAATCCGCTATCAACTGTCTCCAAAGGTTGGTTTACACAACCACGCCATGCACTGCTGTATATCAGAGCAGTGTTGACAAAGGCTGTGTTTATTGTTACCGAGTCTATTGTGTTATTCAGACAGAGGGTTTAGGTGTTAGGTAATCTGCGATGCCTCTCCCGACAAGAGTTGCAATGGCTAATGTGGTGTAGCGTTAATGAAATATGTGCGCAGTCAGCATATTCATTATGTTCTGCAGTGTTGCTCAGAAATCTCTATATCACAATTCTAAAACTATTAACTTTTTCCATAATTTCAACAGATCAAGAGAGAAACGAGTGTGTAAACATTGCGATGAGTTCGTTAGGGGGTGAGGTGAAATAATCGCGTCAAAGATTATTGAACTTATATAGCGACGCGGGTGCGTGCGTGCGTGCGTGCGTGCGTGCTGTTTAACATGACACGGCCGAATGCTATACCACTAGACCATGGAGGCGCTCCATGAGTTTGTTCGAGACAGACTAGACCATTCATTTCTCTGAAGGAGAAGCCCAACAAAATTAACACATACAGGGAATTTTTAAGAAATGTGTCATATATATTAAATTTTGATTGAATTGAATACTGTAATGTATACATAGCTGAAATACACTTTTGATAAGTGGAAGAATAATTCAAAACGTACGTCAACGTAAGAGAATTATGAGTCTGAATTATCTGTCCAAACATATTTCACTTGGCGTAAAAGACAAAATGGTAATGAAAATTATATGAATGGGTCACTGAAAATCAGTGATGATATACCGGGTGTTCGCGAAAAGAGCACGCATGTCCTGCTCCATATGACGGCGGCCTGTAAACAATTAAGTCTGTACCAGACAATCCAGTGATTGATATTATGAGCAATGATGCACGCTTTCGGTGTACCACACCGCGCTATAACAATTTTCCATGAGTTGAGCAAATTTAAAAAAAAAATCCAGTAGGCTCTGGAACAAATGTTTCTCAAAAACATAGAAA